CATAAGCGCATTGAACAATTCTACATTGAATATAAATAGATACATTTAATCGTTCGTGGATTTTATGGCATTATAGGTGTTAATTAATACCTATTTAGTGTATTTTTTAAATCGAAATATCACACTAACTTAATTTTTATTCATTCATTACAGCCATTTACAAGTCCACTGCTGAACATAGGCCTGAACATAGGCCCCCACGTAATGCCAAAAAGCACGGTCCTGAGCCACCTGCATCCATCGAATTCCAGCATGTAACTTACAGTCCAGTTAGATAACTCACACACGTGTATTGTACACTGTATCATTTAAATTCACCCTTTTACACACTGAGACCTATGAGGCTATAAAAGCCATTACCATCACCATTAACCAGATTTACAGTCTATGTGATGGTAAGTGGCTACTGTAGCCATGGTCACATAATACATAAACACGCCTGTCACCCAGAGGGGTAGGCAGAGACTACAGACTTCCATTTGACACGATCCTGACACACCTCTCTCGCCTCCTTCACATCCATACACCTACGCATACATGCTCGTCGGTTAAGGGTACTCCTAATTTGGCCCGTTTTCAATAAATCGCCAATTTGGTCGATAAATTTTCGCCTAGAACGTCCCTTTCCGACTCTGCCATTCACTTCTGCAACATAATTTTTTTTTGTTACTCTTTCTTCATTCATTCTTTCCACATGACCAAACCACCGAAGCATTCCTTTCCTAATCCTGGTCACAACATCATCTTGCAAACCATACTCTTCTCTTATTACACAATTACTTACCCTGTCGTTCAGATTCAGCCCTAACATACTCCTTAACGACCGTATTTCTACTGCGTTGATTCCACTCTCGTGCTTCTTCTGCCACACCCAACTTTCACTACCATACGTTAACGGACCAACACAGCATTATGAATTGCCATACGTGCCTTTTTTGACACATTTTGACTCTTCACAATAGAGTGCAGGGCCCCATTTACTCTATTTCCCGCATTCACTCGTCGTTCTATATCCTTATCACATCTCCCATCCCTGGTAAATACACAGCCCAAATATGCAAACTCATCTACTTGCTCGATCAACTCCCCTTCTATTCTTATTTCACAAATCATTTTACTTTCTTCTCTTTCAAAAACCATAACCTTCGTCTTACTTACGTTCACTTTCATAGCCCTTCACCCGTCACCTGTGACTAACTTCAAATAAAACAGTCTACAGATGCGTCATCACGACTAAGAACTAAGTAATTTACTAATTCTGCCGTCAAACAGCAGTGCTGGCATTGCTGTGCTGCAGTATGAAGAGTATATGTAGAGTAATATAGAGAGCAATTATTGTTATACCGTGTAGTGGCACACATAATCTCGTGGGTGTTGTAAGAGCCGACAGAAGGAAACAAATCAGTAGATGGGAAGCAGCGGCTTCCTATTATCGACTAAAAATAAAAAATGGGGTTGCTAACCATCTTGCGTGGTAACTATGGCATTTGTCCCCCCCTATGAGATAATCTATGAGAGAGGCCTACGTACAGCAGTGGACAAAAGACTTCAATCAAGACTTTAATAGGTTGTAAAGCTAATTGTTGCAAGTAAGCAAGCACACATTCGAGTAACGAGCCCGCTAGAATGCATCTCTCTGAATCTCTCCACTGAATCTGAATCACGCCACTATGACATCATAAACTTCGAATGACAGATGATAATGCTAAATAGCTTTTTTTTTTTAATACATTTTTACCTACAAATGATGCTAATAAATGTAGACTACATTTTTTTTAGTTTTGATAATTCCGTACAAAAATTATAAATGCCGTGCAAAGCACGAAATATTAGAAATAATTGGATAAAAAGTTTAGATTTGATTGAATTAGTGCTAAATTGTTTGTAGTTTATTGTAGTGAAAAATAAACATTTTTATAACCCCTTTATTTAAAAACTACCGTATAAATCTAAAATAACGGAGCTATGGAAAAAAAGGCACTGACTCAAAAACTAACAACGATATGTATGTTTAAAGTATTCATTATTATGTTCGTAGTGTGTGTTAAACTCTTCTTATAACTGCAAAGAAAAGTGTTTACATAAATTGATACATTTTCAACAGTTGCTGCCTCAGTTTGTAAGTTGTTTGTAGTTACGAAGAATTTGATTATCTTTAAAGTAGTTGAGTCGTAAGAAAAATTACTGAGCAAAGTTGTTAGAACGAACGGGGAAAAAATTATCGCTAATATGTGTTGTAATGATAGTTCATTGGCATAAAAATTATCGGCAGTCGATTTTCATCCTAGTAGTACATTAATTGATAAACAATCAATAATAAAGTAAAATTTTCCAATGAATGAGTAGCTATACATTTTATGCATATAGTTATTTAAAATTTACTTGATAAGTTCATCCGTACTTGCACACGTACTTGTTCCTAATGTTTGAATTTCTGTACTACCAAATTAACCTTCACACGATTTGAGCTAAAAGTCATTCAACTCTAGATTTTAATCTAAAAAAAGAATGCTGATACCTTTGTTAGTATACTGTTGTTTCCAAACTGATGAAAAATTAACTCGATTCCGGAGGAGGAATATTGAATCAAGCACATCGTTTTAAAGAGTATGATCATCTATAACCATGCAAAAAATTTTGTAACTAATAAATTTATCTTGGTAAGTAATTTTTTGTCAATTTAGGTATATATATATACAATATGTAACGTAATTAACGTACCCTCATATATACCCAATTAGTATATTATGTTATAATCATAATACATACACTGAATTTTAATAACATTTTTATAAACTGATTATTTATCAAATTAGTTATACTAATTCCGGAAGAATGTTGTGGTCACAGTACAAATCCATGAACGCAAAGACTTTAACGTGCTTGAAATAAAGTTCCTTTTTCTTTATTTTTATTGAATGACAGAATTAGTAATTATACAAATAAAACTGCACTCTTAAAAGTCTTATTGCCTTGAGTTACGGTCCATTTCAGTTTGTGTTGACTGTACAGATTTAGTGTGACCATAATTTACGTAGTTTTAATTATTTATGGGATAATTTTAAAAATGATAGGAATCGATTCTGTAAACGATTCTAAACAAACTACTTCAAGTAGTTAATTATGATTTATATATATATATATATATATATATATATATATATATATATATATATCCGTAAGTCATCACTGGCAAACGGATTAGTAAGCTGAAGTGGAAATGGGCCGGCCATATAGCTCGAAGAACCGATAACCGATGGGGAAGAAAGGTTCTCGAGTGGCGGCCTCGTACCGGTAGGCGTAGTGTAGGGCGACCCCCCACTAGATGGAGTGACGACCTGGTAAGATATGCAGGAAGTCGATGGATGCAGGTGGCTCAGGACCGTGCTTTGTGGCATTACTTGGGGGGAGGCCTATGTTCAGCAGTGGACTTGTGAAGGGCTGTGATGATGATGATGATGATGAATATATATATATATATATATATATAATTGGTATTGTGACCACATTCTCACAGAATACAAGCGTCAAATAGCAGCTTAACGATGCTGAATTTCGTTTGGTGAGTGTTGAGAACCGCTGGAAACGAGGCATTCCATCTTAGTTCTCACGCATGACAACGTATTTGCATTTTGATTCGTTGTCAAGGAGAGATGTAGATGTCTATCGGCCACAGCAACCACTTACCATCAGGTGCAAACATCACTATCGTTTGTAGTTTTGAGTCAGTGCCTTGTTTAGAAGTGTAGTGCCTTGTTATTTTAGAATTTATATGGTAGTTTTTAAATGAAAGGCGTTATAAAATGTTTTCTTTGTCACTACAATAAACTACAAACAATTTAGCACCCATTTCAAATTCTTTTATTGGATTATTTCTAATATCATTTATACGTGGTAAGGCCACGCTGCAGCTATATTGTGATTGTAGCTCGAATGGGCCTGCTCGACCGGGGAAGGACCACGCTCGCACAGAATACCAGCGTAAAATAGCAGCTTAATACTGCTGTGTTTCGTATAGTGAGTAGACGAGACTTTTTTATGGAATAGTTAGGGGGGGTTTTGGGCCACAGCATCCACTTACCATCAGGTGGACTGTGTACTCGTTTGTCACTCTTATTTTATAATAATAAAACTACAAAAAGTAAAGTATACTACTACATTTATTAGCATCTTTCCTTGAGGGTAAAATGAATTTAAAAAAATCAAGTTTTTACTAAAGCGGATTCCAGCGTGATGGAACTCTATGTAGCGGCTAGTGCGCCTTTTGTTCTGATTTATTATTGGTATATTTTATATAAGACTGTCAGGCGTAAGACTTTTGTTTATAGTGACCATCTTACTTCGACCCTCACTGTGCTCACGCATAGTCAAGTGCGAACAGTAATTTTTAATAATATGAGTAACTATTTTCTATAAATAACTGGTAATTTTATACTTTCACGGTACCCTCGTTTTTTGGCTCTAGAAAATAAAAAAATAATATGATTTCGATGATTTTTTTAAAATCTTCGTTTTTATGGCGGATTTACGAAAAAAAAATATAAAAAATATTTCACCTGAAGATTTCATACAGATTTATGACTACATCGGGACTTAGGGCATCCCGACTCGGAAAGGTTAGGTTAGAAGGAGATGGCGGGATCGAATGAGCGAACGAAGCGAGTGAATAGACCCCGCCATCTCCTTCGTGGTTATTTTTTTATATCGACCGGGTTTCCCTCGACTGCGCTACGTTGAGTGCTGTTTTATTATAAAACTGACTTATAGAGGGAGAGAGTTGGGGGAGGGAAGCACCACGCCACTCAACGTAGCGTAGTCAAAGGAAGCCCTATCGACGGAGCCCAGTTTCACGGGCTCCTACTTCTGAGCGGTTTATAAAAAAATAACCACGAAGGAGATGGCGGGGTTGAGTGAGCGAGCGAAGCGTGCTATAAAGTGCTTGAAACGTCAGGTATATAAAAAGTTAGCTTTTTATTAATAATTTTCATAACATTACTTACGTAAGTAGTTGGGTTGTGTCCTTCTCAATTTTGAACAGCTTCCTTGCGGTGTAGTCGCTGAATTTTTGTATGGCGCGAGTAATGTCCTGCTTTTTATCTATGTCAGCCTGGTCGGCGCTCTGCCAGGACTCGATGTACACCAGCGACACTCGCGTATTCAGAGTTCTAAAGTACTGGGGACAAAAACAACATAATATTAAAATTGTTATTCCGATATAGAGATTTCTAATATCCTCATCATCAATACTATATTATATAGTGAAAGAGTTTACAAGACTGCTGAACATAGGTCTCCGACAAGAAATGCATTAAAAAGTGGTCCTAAACCACTGTATCAATCAACTTCCTGTACATCTTACATGGTCGTTACTCCATCTAGTGAAGGTTCATTCTACATTTCATTTACCGTTACGAGGCTGCCGATCGAGAAATTTTTCTAATTGGTTTACGGTTCCTCGATCAATACGACCGGCTCATTGCCACTTCAGCTTGGTAATATATTGGGGTATTATAGGGATTTTAATTTATTGAGAATTATATCACGCGGCAAAACGTCGAGCGTTACCATAGTTCGTTAAGCGACCTTAAGCTTCCTCATACGACCAGTAGTGAAACACCACGGTGCCAACTTGTATTTTCAGTTTATCTAAGTACTGAAGTGTTTGTACAGTAAATCTACGATGGCTATCCGAGAACAGTATCAGAATACAAAATAAAGAGCAAAAACAAGTCTTCTGAAGAGTCAAACTTTGACATCAGTTTGATGCTTTAGAAGACTTATTATCTAGGGGATCAATTTAAAAAAAATCAATCAAAATTCAAAAAAGTCATTATGAATAATTTCTTATTATTTGATATTGGAAAAAGAACGAGTCCATTATTACAGTAAAAGAAAAACGTGTTACAAGCTTGGGGTTCGTGACAATAAAAACTGCCGATTGAATTACCAAAATTAACACTTTCATCACCGAACACCAATTAAAACTTAAAAGACACTAATCATTAATCACACTGATTCACTTTATTTCGCTCCGAAGCTTCGCTTGTCTCGCCAAATTCAATACTGCCCCGATCGCGGCTATCAACGGCTTTATATAGGGCTCTTCTACCGAAACATCCAGAATATTCCAGCAAATATGGGTCCAGACCGACTAAGTTCAGAAAGTTCAAGAGTGGACCCTTCTAGAAAGCTTAATTGTTCTACCCGCCACTAGATGGCGCTGTTGGGAGAGTTCCGGAAAGATCTTGACACTCCTATTTCTGATACTTGGTACCAGTCCACTATGGCGCGCAATACTGTCCCCTCCTAAGACATGCTCGTCACGAGCATTATCGGTCCTATGATAACGCACCAGTCGATCTACGTGGACGATCTTAGGATCACCTCTTGCACCTTACTGTACTGGCTCAGTAACTTCAAGGAGTGTCCTCTCCCATGGTGCACCAACATTGTACAATTTTAATGCACCTCTACTACGAGTCTGTCTCTGTCCCTTCACAGTCTCACAACTTGTACATTTGCGACACCAATCCTCGACATCGTCACGATAATGGATCCAGTAAAACCGTTCTTGGATCTTCAGTGTAGTTCGTTTAACTCCCTGATGGACTCCTGAACAACCCTTATGGTACAGCTGTAGAACATCTGGTACTTTAGGCTTACTTTAGCTTTAGGGACAACCATTTGCAAACGACAGCTGTCCCTCGACCATTTTCCCATTTACGGCACAGAATATCATCCTGAAGTAGCAAGCTGTCCTATTGGGCCCAATAGCTTTTAGTGGTAGAACTCATTGCTGAGACGTCGCTCCACTTGGGCTTGGGAGCACGGGCCTTCATCAATTCCAGAGTCGGCTTGATGTCCGGATCTTCCTGCTGTGCATGTTGTAAGATATCCTTCCACTCGTTGCTGAGGTGGTCTGTCCTGAGCATCCTCACAGATACCACTTCCTTACCCTCTTGCCTAGTACTGTTCTCACAATCATCAGGATAAGGTCTTTTTGACAATGCATCTATGTTGCCACGCCATTTCCCGCTGCAGTGTCCGATAGTAAAGTCGTATTCCTGCTGCTGCTGGGCGGTGCTGTTAGCCGCACTACCCTTTCGAGATCGATCACCTTCCCTTTTTACAGATCGCTTAGGGCAGCTGGGTCGAATATAGCCCCTTTTCCCACAGCCGTAGCACCTTGGGCTGTAACTTTTATTGTGGTCGTGGACTGTAGGTGCTGCAACTTTCCTAACGCGATGGGAACGATGATCCTGCCGCACGGCTTCCACCTCCAGTGCATGGGCTAAGGCGTCCTTAAGCGTCTCATGGTGCCCGAGCCTCACAGCAAGTCTGACTTCAAGGTCGCGGATGCCGTCGATTAATGCCTGCACCAGGTTCCCTTCAATGAGCGCAGGTACAGACCGGTATGCTTTTCGCACCAGCTTCTCCACCTATAGAGCCCACTGCTGCGGGTTTTCGTTGATGCGCTGCACACGATCTTTAAGCTGCGCACGAAATACTTGTTCCAGGTGAGCGTCGCCATATATCGCCTCCAATGCCTCAAGGAGCTGCTTGTTAGTCACTTCCTCACCGAGAGCTCCAAAAAAGTTAAGGCCTGGCTGCGCAGGCCTAGTGTGAGAGCAGTCATGGCTTGACTTTTATTCCAGCCATTCGCCTTCATAACGGCTTCGAACTGGATTTTGTAAGCTGACTAGGAAGAAGTTCCGTCGAACGGTGGCACTTTGAACCCACGTAGCGAAGGTGTTGTACCTACTACGGGAGCTGTAGTTCCATCGCCCAGTTTGAGGTCGTCTAGCGTTTTCTTCACGTCAGCCATCACGTTGTTAACCCGATTGTTCACTTTGTCGATTTGTGTTTTAGCTTCCTCGATTTTGGTTTCAGCTTCCGACAGGCGGTTGTCATGTTGAGCAACCCTATCTTTCACCTCCCTTATCTCTTTCCCAAAGGTAGCGTGAAGGTCCTTCATAAGGAGTATCTGCTCTTCCGACCAACGAGCCTGTTCATCCTGTCCGCCCCGCAGCTGCTCTTCCAATCGACGGACTTGTTCCTCCTGTCGGCGAGCCTGCTCCTGCCGCACCACCATCAGAGCACCTAACTCAGGTGCTGCAGGTGTAGGAGCTGCTGACAGGCCAGCCTCCGTAGCTGGAAGTTGGCCCTCTTACGTCTGTGGCGTTGCACCACCACTTGAGGGTAAGTGGATACTGTGGCCCGTAGACATTTACATTTATCCTAGATTAAGAATCAAAGTGCAGGTGCACCCCTGAAGATTGAGATAGAATGCCTCGTATCCAGTAAAAAGAACAAGATAGGCTTTAAATCTACTCGTTTTCTGATTTTTTTGGTTCAATAAATAATAAATAAATAAGTATGTACAAAGCAAAAAAGTAAAATTAGGCTCATCCTACATAGAGGAAAAATAGGCGTGGCAGGAACGGGAAGTAATGTACCCTCCGAAGTTTTATGTCGCTTGTTGTGCTTATGTTAAATAAACGTAAATGTAGGAAGTAAAGCAGTGGGGAGCTGTTTCTTTAAAAGCTTTTACCTAACTGACTGAGGATAAATGGTAATTGAATGTGACTCAGTCGTATGTACACGGTCTAAGATTGTTCGTTGTGTACAAGTTTGTTTGAGTACCGTTTGTAAAAGAGGTAGTCGGAAGTGCGTCATTTGGGGTGGGTTAATTATCCTTTTGCCTGATTTGAAGGAATTTGAAATAAAGATACGTGTTAAACGAAATAACTTAACGGTAACGTCGAAAATGTTTATTAATATTAACCGTTATCTTTATTCATTTTATGCACGTAAAGAGTGCATTGTAGGTGATTGGTCACATGTGTTTATTGGTCTGCAGCGTAGTGTTTGTAACTTCAGACCAATACCAACCAGCTTGAACGCAAAGCGAAGAGTGTGGTCTCTTTAACCACAAAATAAAAATATCAAGCTACTTTAAATTATCTGTACTGATTAAACATAACCCTTAAATATATATAATGTCAAAAGGATACTCCACTGTACAACCCTATTCTAATTTAAAATACTTTTGTAAATGGGGGATACTTAAACTATGTGGCAAGGGTTAATCTATGTGGTAGGCTTATGTTCAGCAGGTCTTGTGGCAAGATGTAATGATGATGATGGATAATAAATTTATTTATTTATTTAGGTACACAAAACAGAATAACACCAAAACATGAACAATTGAAAATAATAAATACAAAGTTACAATCTGGATGATATTCCAAAATATGTGCACACAAAAATGTATAAATAAACGTCAATTTATGTAAATATTTTAAGTTTTTTTAAATAGATATTATTAGTTGTCAAGGGTGACAAGCGAGCACACAGTCTACCTAATGGTAAGTGGATGCTGTGACCCATAGACAACTACATCGATTGAGGATCAAAATACTGATGCGTTGCACCATTAGGTCTAAGATAGAGTGCCTCGTTTCCAGTGAAAAGGGTCTCCGGTTCTTTTCCCTCACCACACGAAACACAGTAGCATTGAGCTGCTATTTTACGCCGGTTATTCTGTGAAATTGTGGTCTTTCCCCGGTTGAGTCAACCTGTTCATGCTACAAACATAATATAGCTGAAGCATGGCTCTACTAGGTGAAAATAGACCATAATATTCAAAAAATTGCTTCGGTATCAGTTTGGTCATGTGTACTTACCAGATCAGCAATATTAGCAACTTGTATAGCGTCATGGACTACTTCGGAGCGTGTGCTGCCGTTTCTCCGATCGAACATGGCTTTGTCTATGACCAGCGCCGTCTCTATGTACTTGGTGGTCTCCCGTACGTCCCTCCTCCGCCTGTTGATAGCGCGCTGTCCCGCGTCCTGCCACCATCGCCACGTCCGGTTCTCTCTCGATTTAGAGGATCCCCTGAGGACAAAGAATATATTATAATGATTTAGTTGTTATTCGTGTAGTGACTGCGTATGGGAATACACTACCTCAGGTGAGCATCTTCCTGATAATAGCTTAACGATAGTAAAAAACTATATGTATATGTTGACGATTCGTCTGCCAAGTGTGCAAATTATGGAAAAATTCTCCCATGAGATCAATCTATGGGGAAGACCATACAAGGCCTATGCCTTGAGTATACTTATGCATTTTTTATAGTATGAGGGTGACAAACGAGCACACAGTCCACCTGATGTTAAGTGGATGCTGTGTTCCATAGACATCTATGTTTATCCTCAATTAAAAATCAAAATACAGATGCGTCACCAGCCCTGAGGACTGAGATGGAATGCCTCGTTTCCTGAGGTGTTCCAGTACATAGGAGTGGACTTTTAATGGGCTGTAATTATGATGAATATTTTGATGCTGTGATCAGTGTTTATTGTTCAATATGAATGGCTACCGTAAGGTCCACAGAAATCTAAATAATAGTGTCTTATTATTTATATTTCTGTGGTAAGGTCCATTAGTCAAAGTAAAAATAAGTTATTTGCCTTTATACGTCTCACAACTGAGCAAGTCTTAGAAATATTTTTTCTTATTTCTCAGCACATGCAGATTTCCGCACAATGGAAACATTCACTGCTGATCACGTAAATCAGCACTTAAAATTGCAATAAACAATCTCATTGGCGGCGGCGTGGTTCAAACTCGGTTTGCTCACATACTGTGAAATTTACAGCGATCTCTAACCATCTGAGCTACCACGGCTATATTTTATACTAATACGGCTATACTTTATACTAATACGGCTATATTTTATACAAATACAGCTATATTTTATACTAATACGGCTATATTTTATACTAATACAGCTATATTTTATGCTAATTAGATTGGAAAAAGAAAAACTATCGGATATTCCTAACTAAAGTAGAAGAATTAAAAAAAAAAAATAACATAACATAAACACTCACGCCTGTCACCCAGAGGGGTAGGCAGAGACTACAGACTTCCATTTAGCACGATCCTGACATACCTTTCCCGCCTCTTCCACATCCATATACCTACGCATACATGCTCGTCGGTTAAGGGTACTCTTAATTTGGCCCATTTTTAGTATAACGCCAATTTGGTCGACAAACTTCCGCCTAGGACGTCCCTTTCCGACTCTTCCATTCACTTCTGCAACATGACAGAGGCTTATGACAGAGTGGACAGGGATGTGTTATGGCAAACGCTGAACGAATTTAGGTTGAGCGCTGGTTTGATACAGGCATTAAAGTCTCTGTATAGAGACTCGAGTGCTTGTGTTAGAATCAACGGGGTCTACTCGGACTGGTTTGGCATCCATAAAGGTGTCAGACAGGGCTGTGTAGCTTCCCCGTGGCTGTTCAACCTATTTATGGACAGCTGTTTGGAAAATTTGAAAGTTGAAGAATGCGGGTTAAGAATGGGTGAGTTAACCATCAAATGCCTTTTGTACGCCGATGATCAAGTCATACTTGCGTCGTCGGCGGCCGAGTTGCAAATGATGGTTACATTAATGAACAGGTCATTAAAAGAAAGGGGAATGAAAGTGAACGCAAGTAAGACGAAAGTGATGGTTTTTGAAAGAGATGAAAGCAAAACGGTATGTGAAATAAGAATAGAAGGAGAGTTAATTGAGCAAGTGGATGAGTTCGTATATTTGGGATGTGTTTGTATGTAGCAGGGATGGGAGATATGATAAGGACATTGAACGACGAGTGAATGCAGGAAATAAAGTAAATGGGTCTCTACACTCTATTGTGAAAAGTCAGAATGTGTCAAAAAAGGCACGTATGGCAATTCACAGTGCTGTATTAGTCCCTACTTTAACGTATGGTAGTGAAAGTTGGGTGTGGCAGAAGAAGCACGAGAGTAGAATAAATGCAGTAGAAATGCGGTCGCTAAGGAGTATGTTAGGGCTGAATCTGAGTGACAGGGTGAGAAACTGTGTGATAAAAGAAGAGTGTGGTTTGCAAGATGATGCGGTGACCAGGATTAAGAAAGGAATGCTTCGGTGGTTTGGTCATGTATAAAGAATGAATGCGGAAAGACTGACAAAGCAAATATATGTTGCAGAAGTGAATTTAAAAAAAAAGATTTAAAAATGTGTAAATGATTAAAGAATACAGCCATTACGCATTGTTTTGTGCATAAACGAACACTATAAACCGTAAAACATATAATCAAATCGCATCTTTTCAATAATGATGACACTCTGTTACTGTCTGCGTAAGAAATAAGTTCACCTGAGTCACTACTAGCGACATCTAGTAAGAGTAAGATACATTTTTTATTTTTATTTTTTTTATTTATTCATTAATCCACCGCATGCCATTTTCGCGTATTTCTACAGTATATTTTACGTAAATCGGTACATAAAATTACAATAATAACGTTGATAAGATAATTAAACTGTAAAGTAATGATGAACTGTAATTAATGATTTTCCTTTGGCTTTTTTATAGAATTATGGTGACAAACGAGCACACAGGCCACCTGATGGTAAGTGGATGCTGTGGTCCAAAGATATCTACATTTATCCTCGATTGTGTGTTATCACCCCTGAGGACTAAGATGGAATGCCTCGTTTCCAGTAAAAGCGGGTCTCCCGAACAACTATAATGCCGTAAGCGGTAATAAATCATATTATAACTAACTATAACAATCTTATTAAATAAACATAATCCATATACGTTTAAAAATGCAAAGTTGTAAAATATTTAAATTCATATCTATTATGTATTTATTAGATGTGTTATTTAATGTGTGTAGTGACGGTGTAAGAATATCCACTAACCCGTATCATCCCGGGGCTGTCGATAAAGACGCCAGAGGGAAAAAATTAGGAGATGGGTTGCATCGTCTTCCTAATAACGACAAAAAATAAAAAAAATAAACCTCGGGTTGCCAACCCGCTTGGCAATTGTGGCAAATATCATCCTATGAGGCAATGTATGTATGTATGGGAGGTCTATGTAACGTTTATGTATTACTCCTTCTAATTAATAAATAAAATAAATAAATCTATAATTGAACTCTATAAAATTCATCTTAATATCGTCTGATATTTCATTTGAGTGAAATAAAATAAAATCTAGATGCAGTCAATACTGGTGCTCAGTACTAATTAATTAAAAGCAACTTCATAATTAATAAGTTAATTACGATATTTCTAGCAAACGTACTCATTGAAACTCAACATTAATACATTTATGATATTTTTAATGATATTATATTGGTGAAAGCTTATATTTTGTACTCTTTTTGTAAGTGAAAACCTTTAGAAGCGTTGTGATTTAAAAATAGTTATGATGTGAAATGATAAAGCGGTACTAAAAAAGAGACATTTTATATATATATATATATATATATATATATATATATATATATATATATATATATATATATATATATATATATATATATATATATTATATATATATTAGATACTATAACAAGTATTTAGCCTGCCAGAGAATGAGCTCTAATACAAAATACAGTGTTTCCTATTATATCGTTTTCTTTGTGCGGTACTTTAAAGATGGTTAATCATCATCATTCATCATTACAGCTCTTCACAAGTCCAATGCTGAACATAGGACTCCCCTAGGGAATGCCACAAAGCACGGTCCTGAGCCACCTGCATCCATCGACTTCCTGTATATCTTACCAGGTCGTCACTCCATTTAGTGGGGGGTCGCCCTACACTACGCCTACCGGTACAAGGCTGCCACTCGAGATCCTTTCTTCTCCATCGGTTATCGGTTCTTCGAACTATATGGCCGGCCCATTGCCACTTCAGCTTACTAATTCGTTGGGCTATGTCGGTCACTCTAGTTTTACTGCGGATATCCTCATTTCTGAGTATATCACGCAGAGAAACTCCGAAAATAGCCCTCTCCATAGCTCGCTGAGCGACCTTGCATGTCCTCATATGGCCAGCAGTGAAGGACCACGTCTCAGATCCGTAAGTCATCACTGGCAACACGCACTGGAGCACGCACCATGGAGGACGGAATTGAAGAGCTTCTGAAGGACTTCAAGTACCGGTGTTCCACCCGCTTTCAGAATCTCCGCTGTAATTCCATCCTCGCCTGGGGCCCTGCCGTTTTTAAGTTGCTGGAGAGCTATTCTAATCTCGCTCAGACTGACGTCCGGGATGTCATCGGAATAGTGTCGGATAAGACTTGCTCTTGGATCGTTACTCACACTTGCGTGTGGCTCCGACGATGATGTGTACAGCTGCCCATAGAACCTCTCTTAAAATCTCAGGTGTCCCGGAAACGATGCTGCCACACTCAGTCTTCAGCTTTGACAGTTGGCTCTTTCTGGCAGACAGATCTCTCGCAAAGACTTTGGAGCCCTGGTTCCGCTCGATCGCTTCTTTAATACGAGCAGTATTAAAGTTGCGTAAGTTTCCGTATTTGGACATCTGTCTGTTCAGCTGCCTGTATGCTGTCAAATCTGTTGACGATTGCAGCCTCATCTCCCGTCTAACAGCCATGAGATTAAGAGTGTGATCGGAGAGTTTTTGTGTTCTTCTGCGGCGGGTCTTGCAGAATTTAGCTTCGACCGCATGGACAGTTTCCACGAGCTTGTCATTAATATCGTCCACTGCATTGCAATCTTCTAGGCACTGAAAGCGGTTACGTAACTCGAGCTGAAAGGTTTCGGGATTCTGGATTAGAGCACGAGGGGGGACGGAGCGTTGACTTCATTAGATGAGACCTTTCCAACTTAACGTTTAGGTTTAGTGTGCCTCTAACTATTCGGTGATCGCTGCCAGTTTTCACCCTTGCGATCACTGAGACATCACTGAACTGTTGGCGTCTGGTCGTCATAATGAAGTCAATTTCGTTTTTTGTTGAACCGTCGGGGCTCGACCAGGTCCACTATCTATGGGACCGCTTCTGGAAGAAAGAGTTCATCATAAAAAGTCCCTCTTT